CCTCCCCCCTCTTCCAACCGCGCGGTCAGTCCCAACCCTCCCCCCCACCCCCCACCAATCCTCCCTTCAAGAGAAAGAGTGGGTGAAAAAAATAAATTTTAACATTTTGTATTAAATAATACCTCAGATTAAAGTTAGGATAATATAATTGACATTGCTGGATTCCTTGTAAGACCAGGAATATTTTGAATAAAAACGTCATATATTTTGCACAAAAGATAACATACTTACTCAGAGTGAACATTATATCTAAAAATTTTATGTCTAATGCAAAATATATGATGTTTTTATTCAAAATGATCATCAAATTGTAAGAATTCCAGCAATGTAAATTATATTCTGGCCGGGTAATTTGTATGAATTTTATGAGCTAAAATAAAAATCTTCAGTTAATAAAAAAAAAAATATTCTTCACACGGTAACAGATGGTCGGTCGCCGGTCCCTCCCTCCCCCCCCACCAACGTCCCTACTAGATAAATGTGTGGGAATACCAGACTGTTTACCTTTTTAGTAATAAATAATAAATCAGACTAAAGTTAGGATAATATAATTGACATTGCTGGATTCCTTGTAAGACCAGGAATATTTTGAATATAAATATCATATATTTTGCACAAAAGATAACATATTTACTCAAGAGTAAACATTATATCTAAAATTTGTATGTCTAATGCAAAATCTATGATGTTTATATTCAAAGTGATCATCAAATTGTAAGAATTCCAGCAATGTAAATTATATTCTGGCCGGATAATTTGTATGAATTTTATGAGCTAAATAAAAAAATTATACTTCACCGTGTAAAGCGGTACACCCAACGCGGAATGTGAGCATCCTGGGTTCTGGCAGGGCACCGCGTAAACGTGGAAACGCCGAATGTGGGACCGCGTAAAGTGAGGGTTGACTGTATATATATATATATATATATATATATATATATATATATATATATATATATATATATATATATATATATATATATATAGTATATATATATATATATATATATATATATATATATATATATATGTATATGTATATGTATATATATATGTATATGTATATGTATATATATATGTATATGTATGTATGTATATAACAAAATATATGTACAAAAAATAAATGTTAAATGAATTATTTATGGTGCATTAGCGTACTGGCCACTTCAGACACAAGACGGGCTATAAATAGCCTTCTTTATCTCCCCTCCATCTCACCCTGAGCCAGAGGGAAGGGGTGGTGGTAAATAACATTTGTTTGCTTATTTTCCATTTACTTGAAATAGATTTACCGAATTATTTGTTTATTTATTTAAAAGTCATTTACTGAATATTCTATGTAAAAAATAAATTTTAAATTAATTATTTATAGGAGATACCGTAAGTATTATGATCAGTAAATATATGGTATTACTGGCCACTTCAGACACAAAGACGGGATAAAAATAGCCCATCTCCCCCTCTTCTTACAGCTGCCAATGGGAAGCGTCTTGGTAATTAAATTTGATGTTTATTTTCATTGTCTAATTTATCATGTATCAAAGTAATATTACGAAAAATTGTGTAGGTAGTAGGCAGCTACCAAACAGGTAGATACTACCACCTGGGAAGATATTGGAAGCATAATGTGTTGTCTAATGGTAGACCCTGCTGCCATATGGCATCACGAAAATTGTGACCAAGTCCCAGGTTCAGCGCTGACCTGACTCTGCCTCATTTACACACAATTGCAGTTTGAATTGTTCCTCTAACTTTGACAACACAACATACATACAGTATATTCTTTCTCACTTTTGATCTTTTTTTTACTTTTTGTATTTATTTATGGTTAGTTACTTTAAATAAGGCCAATTCACTTCAAGTAATGGCATCAAATGTTACCAGCTGGTGTAGTGTAAACACTAGTGACGTCACTTAAGCGTCTGTATTTAACTGTCAGTAGTTTCAAGAATTAATGCAGTCATTTACTGAATATTCCTTGTAAAAAAATAAATTTTAAGTATAATTATCAGTAAATATACCGATATGCATTACTGACCACCTCCACGGCTAAAAATAGCCCAATCTCGCGGTCACTTTTCCTTTCTTGTCTCCTCACTGGCAAATGGGGGGGGCGTGGGGAGGGGTGTGTGATGATAGCTGTGTTTATTACAGGGGTATAATTCTCTTTTACGTTATGTTAGACAGGTTTATAATACATTTTTATTATTTTAATATACCGGTAATCTTAATTTGAATCCAGCTTGCCAAACGTAAGTTTCAGTATAAAATAATTAGTGGTAAGACCTTGTGAGTGGCTTACGATGTTTCCATCACCACTCACAATATTTAAGAGGTAAGAATTTTATACTTGGTGGTTTAGACGACCCCCTAACTTTGGGCAGATTTTTTTAATGTTCAAATTCCATCTTATAAGCCGAGATATACGGTAAATATAAAAGAATTAACAGTGGTCCTATTCTTTTTGTCGGCAAACCCAAATTTACAAAACATGACGATCCTGTTTGCCATGGACAACAAAACGGCAGTCTTTTGTCTCAATCATCAAGGGTGAACAAGGTCTTGGCCCCTTCTACAACTATCAGAAAAATTTTTCAGTATTTGTACAACACACACACTTTACCTCAAAGCAACTTATATAGCGGGAGTGCAAAACAATTGGGCAGATGCGCTGTCCCGTCTCCAGCCAGTATCGACAGAAAGAGAATGGTCCCTAAAGGTATCGGAGTTCAAGAGTCTAGTGAAGAAGATTGAAACTCCACAGATAGATCTGTTTGCCTCCCTATCAAATTACAAGATGCCAATTTATGCATCTCTGGAAAGGTCAAATCTTTTAGGAAATGCCCTCCTCTTAGATTGGAACCTTTGGAATTCAATCTATCTATTCCCACCTGTGAAAATATTGCACAAAGTGGTTCACAAACTTAGATCCTTCCGAGGCAAAGTCCTCTTAATTGCACCATATTGGATCCTACAACCTTGGTGCCTGGATCTATTGGACTGGTGCCCGAATCCTCTACAATTGCAACAAGGATGTCTAGACCAGGTACTACATTCTCAGTTCGAGATATCCTTGGCACTTCACGCTTGGAGTTTCTCAAAAAAAAGTTTAAATAGGTTGTTAGGTAATTCCAATATAGCTAATCAAGTATTAGCAGGTCATAGACCCCAAACTTCTATTCAATATGAGAAAGCTTGGAATCTTTTTCAACAATTTATCAAGTTAACAACTCCGGATTCATTATCGGAAACAGTTGTATTAGAATTTTTAGAATTTCTGTTCAGAGTTAAAGGCCTTCAAGGGTAGACAATTGCATCTTATAAATCAGCGTTGGTTGACCCTCTGGCTTGGGGTTTTAATATTACCTTGAACCCAAGGCTTAATCAAATGCTAAGATCGTCCTTTTTCATTCAGAGACCTCCTCGACCCAAGAGAATCCCGCTTTGGTCTGTGGAAAAAGTTACTAATCTTCTTATGGGGCCTAATTACAATATAAATCTGAACAGGGATAAATTACTCCAGAAGGCAGCTTTCCTTCTAGCAATAGCAACAGGTATGAGAATCAGTGAACTGATTTCAATTTCCAATAATCCATCATTATTGGTATTTTCTGACGAGGATGTTATCCTTTTTCCTACGGAGATCCTAAGAAAAAATGAAAGGGAAGGTTTCCAAGCTCAACCTATTAGGATAAAACATCTAATGGATGAAACTAGGGTTCCTCACATATTGTGTCCAGTTAAAAATCTTCAGGAATGGTTAACCAGATTCCCTAATAGAGGCCCTTATGTTTTCTCATCAAGGGATGGTAAGAATTATCTCCTAGTCAATTGACAAAATCCTTATCTCAATTAGTGAATCAAGCAGACCCTGGCAAGAAATTTTTGGCACATGACACTAGGAAATATGCAGGGTCTGTGGTCTCTCTGAGGCATATGAGCCTCAGTCAGATCAAAGGAGTGGGCTTTTGGAAATCTTCAAAAACTTTCAAAGACAGCCATCTTCATCTATCTCTGAGAGATGCTCCAAATGTGGGGGTGCTGGGTTCCCCTCCCCCATGTATTCAATCTCCACTACCAGGACCTTCTTCCTCATTAGAATAAAGTGAGTATCCTTTATGAGTAAATTAACATTTTACCTTCCGGTAAATGTTCTCAATTTTGGAAATTTTCAAAATAATTTATAATATAATCAGGACCTAAGTCAGCAGAGCCTTGTATGCAAAGTCACCTCCCTCTCCACCTCCTACTCGGGTATTCTTGCTGAACGTCGCATTCAGAGCATTGACCAAAAAGCCGTTTTTTCTAAAAACCAGTTTTTGTGATATAGCTCGAATGCGACGTCCATAACCCACCCATCTCCACCCCTCGAGAATTGACTTTTAATTACTGCTCTCTCTGAAGCAAGAGATGAGCTTTGCAGGGCGCATGGAGGCTGGTTGAAGGAGGGACTTTCAAAATAGCAATTAAATGCCAGGAAGCGATGGGTCCTAATATTTCTTATTAAGTAATTATTAGATGTTTTAATTGCCTGTATGTTGGCCTGGCGAATTGGCTAGGAATTAACATACCTAGGTACCATTGCTGATCGTCGCATTTGAGCTATATCACAAAAACTGGCTTTTTTTAGGACTGTACATGTGTTTTGTGTTAACCTTGTATTAATAATTTTATATAAAAACGTTTGCACATTTTTCCTTCTAACTATTTATACTGTGTTAAGCATCTTCATGTCAACTGTGTTCATGTTGTCAAATATTGAATTAAACCACCTAGGGAAATTGTGACTAACCCTACAGTGAAATTTAATTACTGCCAGAGTTGAAAATACAAACAGATTGGCTTTTGTGACATAATTGGGCAAAAGTATTACAAGGTATTATAATGAAATAATTTCCCTCAAAAAGCCCAGAGACACTGACTGGTAAAGAAAACCTTTAGATTTTAAGATTAAAAGTAAACTAAGAAAAAAAGTAAAGAAACTTTGACATTCGCCTGATCTATTGTATATCCTGAAGAGGTCTGGGAATTAAAAAGGTAACTTAGGAGTCAGGGTATGCATGCTTCTTTGTGATATGTAGAAATCATCCAAATTACTAACAGATGTTAAATTATTAACAATATCTTAACTTACCTTAGCAATTAACTGCATGTTAAATGGTCCATTAACTTCAAGAGCTCTGGCAATGGCAGCACAGATGGATGTGATCTTTGCAAGGGTCTCAGAGTTCAGATCTTGAGGAGGAGTGACAAGAGTAGCATCACCAGAATGGACACCAGCATTTTCAACATGCTCGCTTACTGCCATACATAGGAGTTCTCCGTCTGCTGCCACTGCATCTACATCAATTTCCTGAAATTAAACATTCATTTAGTTAATAGTCATCACTTGTTATATATACCTGTACATCAATTCTTTCACATATACGTACATCATATGCATCCTCCGCTGTTTTGTACCAAGTCTGTGTGTACCCGAATATGACACATATATAGTGTTAAAAAAACCATAATACAGTGAACCCTCACTTTACGCGGTTAATTGAACCCACGACGGCCCGCGTAAAGTGAGAAACGCATAAAGTGAACAGCATAACATATGGGATTAATTGAAATAGAGACCGGGCCGACCCCCAAACTCACTTTTTCCCGACACAATACGTACGTTTTACTAATAATAATATCTTAACTTTATGATGGTATTCACCCACACATAATATAGAAGGGAACAATCAATAAGAGAATAATAAACTGAAGGTTAGGTTAGAAAAAAACAAGGTTGGGGTTAACACTTACGTTAGTAGAAGAGATGGGTCGGCGTAGGGGAATGGAGGCTGGTTACGAGGCAGACGGCAGGCTACTGGCCCTCAGGTGAGTCTTCATCGGTGTCATCCACACTTACTAGTGCCTCCCTGACAAATCCCTCAAAGTCATCATCACTGTCTCTACCTCTGTCACTATCACTGGCTTGGGCTGGCTGTGGTGGGTTGCGGGCGAAGAACTCTGTTATGCTTTGCTGACGGCTGGTGTTTATGTTGTCGTGATAAACCTTGATGTAGGGCTCCATAGTCTGCAACAGCTGGGTAGTGAAGATTTCATACCTGTTCGCGTCAGGGTCGTCGGAAAGGAGGAGCTTGACTTTCTCAATACACTCGATGGCACCCCTTACATTACTATGGGATAAGCGGCATTCTTCTCGGGATGACACACCACCTGCCTCTTCACTGGCGTCATCATCATCTACCATCTCGTCGGTAGTCACATCAGGATCCCTTATCACCTCCAGGATGTTGTCGTTGGTGGTCTCGGAGAAGCCTGCAGCTGTAACACTCTGCGCAGCTTCTCTGGCAAGGTCCACTGCTACTGCAACAGTCTGAACCTCACCAGTCACAGATTTACTCTGCTTAACACCCAGAATGCCTTGCAACACATGTCTCCATGCGTGACGAACAGTTGCTACAGACAGCTGATCCCATGCCTCCACCAAGAAGTCCACAGCTTTCTTGACGTTGAATGTTCTCCAGAATTGTTTCAAAAGTACTTCTTGCTCTGCCAACTGTTGATCCTCGTCGTCTTCGCTCTTGCTATCGGTGTTGGTGTCACTCAGGTTACGCAACTCTTCCTTGGTGTTGGTGTAGTCGTTCAAGAGGTTGAATTTTTTAGCAGAAAATGCAGCTTTTACATTACAGATCAATTCTTGGTCCATGGGCTGTAACATAGACGTAGTGTTGGGAGGAAGGAAGACCACTTTTACGTTGGGGTGACGATCTAACAGTAGGGGCGAGTGTCCTGGTGCGTTGTCAAGCAGCAACAAAATCTTGAATGGCACATTCTGTTGCTCACAGAATTTCTTCACATCGGGAACGAAACAGTCATCAAACCAGGAGAGGGACAGTGTAGAGAACATCCACGCCTTACGAGCGGTCAGCCAGTGGATATTTAGCTTGGTCATGTCCATGCTCTTGTAGGCATGCGGCTTACGTGCTGTGTGGATCACCGATAACTTGAGCTTACAGGTACCGGAGGCATTGGTGGTAAACAGGACGGTGGTGCGCTCCTTCTGCAACTTCCGGCCCCGACACTTGCTGGCATTCTTCACAACGAAGGTCTTGGAAGGTAGCTTTTTCCAAAAAAGACCAGATTCGTCCATGTTAAACACCTGGTTGTCTGTGTACTGTCCTTCCTCCATAATCTCACGTAAAACCGGAGGAAATTCCCTAGCTGCAACACGGTCAGCACTAGCTTCTTCACCACCAATGTTGATATTGGTGATCTTGTTCCTCTTCTTAAACCTCTGTAGCCACCCAGAGGAAGCATTAAAGGGTTTGGGCTCTGTAATTCCCATCTTTCGTGACACTGCAGCATACAGTTCACGTGCGTACTCCTTAACTGAGCGTGTGTCCACCGCCATGTTCCGTCGCGCCTGACGCACCAAGTAGCTATGGTAATTTTTCCGTCTTGAGAAGCTCCTGGTTGTGGAAATACTTGATCATAGAAGCACCTGTAGAGTTTGTGATGTTCATGTGCTCCTTTATCTTGGCTGCATCCTTCTTAATTGTCCTAATAATTGATTCGTTAACACCATGCTGGCGCGCGAGACCAACCTGCCTTGTTCCTTTCTCCAACTCTTGTATGATCTTATATTTTATTTCATAGCTTAAGGAACGTCGTGTCTTCTTTGGCTTAGGGCGGCTGAGTCCAGGTAATGCAAGGTTTCTTTGTGGTGGTGGTGGTGGTGGTCCAGTGGAAGCCATTCTTATAGAACAATGGAGACCGATATACACGGTGTAGCCGGGAGGGGTGTAGCTGACGCGGTAGGTCAATGGGCTTGAACGCTCCCGCGGCGGGGCACGTCATAGTACTACAGGTTGTACCTCTCTAGTCCGGCAACCTCGGGACCTGGCCGGTGCCGGACCATGGAAATTGTCGGACCATGGAAATTCACCCTTTTCCTGGATAGATAGTGACTTGTGCTTATGCCTGGAAGCACTAGCACCACTTTCTCTGCGTCATGGTCTCTTTGAAGACATATTGAAGGGTTAAATGTCGTTTAGTAGCTTCTCAAATTTCGCGAGTTTTTAATTCTTAAAGTATTTTATTGGAACACACAAAAAAATAAATAAATAAAAATTTTGACGGCGGAAACTTGAATTTCGACAGGTTTGAACGGCCCGCCAACGTGCAGACGACGTGCATAATCGTGTAAACAGCGTCATTTCTCTTATGTACAAAAGATTCATTATTGTTTATTACTGAATGTCTTTTTTATTGAATTAATGTTTATGTGTGCAAAATGAGCAATACAATTCATTAATAATACGTAGAATATTAAAACACATGAGGAAATGACACAGCATTGTTTTCGTTGATTACAAAACCAGTGACTGACTGGTTTTACATATAAAACTGAAGAAAATAAGACCTTGGTTGTAGCTGTAATAAAATTAATATGGTTGTTTTAAGTAATGTTATTTAATGTTAATAAATGGAACAATAGAAGTAGCTAATGATAATGGTAAAGAAAAAGAGAGATTGCATATGTAAGTGCGCATGCGCACACGTGAAAACATATCGTCATTACTTTACATAAGAATATGAAAGCAACACTTATTTACTGTTCATATATATTTTAATTAATGTTTCTGAATTTGTTTTTATTGAATTAATGTACGTGTGTGCAAAATTAACAATACAATTTATTAATAATACGTGGAATATTAGAGGAGACGAGACGGCTGCCAGCATTGTTTATGTTAAAGCTTACGAAACCAGTGACTGATTGGTTCTACATATCTAACTGAAGAAAATAAGACCCTAAGTTTAGCTGTAGTAAAATTAATGTAAAAAATGAATATGGTTGCTTGAAGTACCTGTAACGTTATTTAATGTTAATAAATGGAACAATATAAGTAGCTAACCATTAATGGTAAAAAAAAAAGTGAGACTGCTCGTATGTAAGTGCGCACATGTGAAAATATATCGTCATTACTCTACATAAGAATATGAAAGCAACACTTATTTACTGCTCATATATATTGAAGGGTTAAATGTTGTACTCTGTATAGACAAGCAGAGAGAGAGAGAGAGCAGCCGAACTGCCGGATGTAAACAAACCTTAATTTCCCGCGGCTTTTTTTTTTTTTAAGGGGATTAGCCCACCCGGGCATAGGTCACTGACCCACATTGGGGCCTGAGGGGCAAAAATTTAATACTCCTGTAATAATAATAATAATTCAGATAAGTAAAAAAAATAAAAAGCTGCCTATCTACCTATTGGACAAACTAAAATCGTTCCGGACCACGGGAGTTTCCGGACCACAGAATGCCGGACTAGAGAGGTACAACCTGTACATTAAACCAATCACAGCTAGCAGGGAGGGAGGTAAGGATGCTTTGCCCAATCACAGTCCAGTACTTCATATGACGTCACCGATAACGCAACAAAGACATACACTGCGCAACCTACTCGCGCCGCTTACACAACATGGCGGATGGCGGGAGAGATGGCGGGAGGTTTGGATCCAAAAGTGGCGCGGCGCGAGAGGACCTAACTTTAGTCTGAGGTATTATTTAATACTAAAAGTTAAAATCTAGTTTTTTCACCCAACATTTCTCTGGTAGGGAGGGAAGGTGGGGGGTGGGGGGGGAGGGTTGGGACCGACCGACCATCTGGCACGGTTGGAAGAGGGGGGGAGGCAAGTTGGGGTACTTTGATTGACAGATAGTGTCGTGAAGAATATTTTTTTTTTTATTAACTGAAGATATTTGTTTTAACTCATAAAATTCATACAAATTACTGGACCAGAATATAATTTACATTGCTGGAATTCTTACAATATGATGATCATTTTGAATATAAACATCATGGATTTTGCATTAGACATACAAATTTTAGGTCTAATGTAATAATTTGGTTTACACAAAGCAAGTATTTTATCTTTTGTGCAAAATATATGAAGTTTACATTCAAAATATTCCCTGACCTGCAAGGAATCCAGAAATGTCAATTATATTATTCTAACTCTAGTCTGAGGTATTATTTATTACTAAACGTTAAAATCTAGTGTTTCACCCAATCATTTCTCAGAGAGGTAGGGGCCAGTGAGCTGGGAAGAGGGGGGGGGGGATTTGAGTCCATTATTTGAATGGACATTAACCTGGCGACTGTATTTCTCTTAAATATTAATTGTGTGAGCATACCATCATAAAATTTAGATGTTATTTTTACTACAACATAGGTATTGTGTTGGAAAAAGTGGAGTTTGGGGTGTCGGGCCAGTCTCTATTGGAATTAATCCCATATGTTCTGTTGTTCACTTTACGCGGTTTTCACTTTCCGCGGTACCCTGTGGGTTCAATTGACCGCTTAAATCGGGTACTACTGTAATCAGTTAATTGAAGACAAATAAATAAAAATGAAATGTTTCTTGCTCACTTCCCCCTCTTGCCAGTAGTGTTCTTGAATTCTTTTTATATTAATTGATAAAAAAATAAGATTGAATTGCTGGATAGAATGTGACTTGTCCACCCTGTTGTATGTTTATTAGACTTGTGAAAATCAATGCGAGGTAATGAGGTGGCAATGGTGATTTGCTGCTGTTCCGCACCCAGACCAGGATGCTGAAAGAATGTCAATTGGCAAGTAACGGGCAAATTATTGGCTTTGTGTGCAGTTGGCTACAACGTGTCAGAAACTGCAAGGGAGGTTGGGATCACTGTGAGACGTTGGTTAACCCGCTGGGAGGAGTCTGGGAAATTGGGAAACCGGCCATGGTGTCTATTGTAAGCAAAACATATTGGAACTCTTAATTCGGGGAGACCACAACTGACAGACGAGGAGGACATTGGATGGGCTAATGAGATTTTGTATGACCTGTGTCAGTAAATATTAAAAATAAATTTATTTCTACCCTCAAAATCAATATTTCTCCTCATATCAAAGTTATTATAAATATCTTATTACCACTGTTTAAAACCTGAACAACTACCAGAAAAAAAAATTATATATAAGGGAATGGGTGGCACATTAATCAAAAAACAAAGGACCTCATCTCTTACTCTTTCAAACATGCAAACCTAAGATAATATAATGAAAAAAATTATATACATCCTTCCCTTCCTTCCTTCATGAATTTCTCTGCATTCTTCAATCCCCTCCCAAGTGACTTACCGTGCAGAAAAGGACAGGCCAGGCACAGGGGTTAGGTGGTGAAATGGATGATTACTTTTGATTGCAACTGTACTTTGCTGTACCAGGACACAATTGGCCAAGAATACAGTGTTAAAGCAGTGTTAAGATAAACAGTGACAAAAGTGTAGTAATTTCTAGTAAATTAACATTGTTTGTGTGAGCACCGTACATACGGTACCGTGCATAACAGAGTGAACAGTGATTTGCATACTACAGCCTAAGCACCGCACAAACGGTACCGTGCATAACAGTGGAAGTCATTTATGTCAATCCTGACTTGCCTCTCTGCTTCATGGAGGGAGAGGAGAGTGACAGTTAGTACCACCAACTGTCATAAGATGGTACAGGACAAAGCAGGCCATTCTGTATCATTATATCACCACTTGCCATTTGGCCTGCCTGCATCACAAGCTCAAGGCAACAGCATCTGCTGGTAAGTACAATATACATTAATTTGTTTATTTATAATGTATATTTGTATTATTATATTTAGTTTATTTATATAGTCTAAAGATTTATATTTTGTTTATTAACAATTACAGTAAGCTTCTTCTACCCTGGACCAACTGGGGGTAAGGCCAGTCCGCTAGCGCCGAAAGTCCTTTATATCGGGATCCACAATAATAATGGACTCAGTCCATTACACTATACCAACATGGTCACTTTTTACAACCAACACTCACCATCACCACCAACACTCAATATCACCATCAAAACTAGCCTCACCCCAACATTCACCACCACCACCAATAACACTCACCACCACCAACATTCACCACCACCACCACCACCTGGTGTTTACAAGTTGAGAATTTGCTCAAACTGGAGCGATGGAGTGGCGGTCTGCAGGTTAATAGAAGAAACAAAGTTGCTCTACACATTAGTAGGACAACAGTATCGGTTGGAGGAGGAAAATTATGCATAATAATGACCCCTGCTTTGCCAGATGCAAGTGAACAGCTGACTTGTATGTACGAAGGTCACTCAATAAGTAACGTGATTTCTTTATTTAGACGACAAAGGGGAAAGGCAAATGCAGTGATCAAGTTGTGACATCTTCAGGGAGGTACTACCGCCTGGTAAGATATTGGAAGCATAATGTGATGTCTAATGGTCGACCCTGCTGCCATATGGCATCATGAAAATTGTGACCAAGTCCCAGGTTGCTGATCTGACTTTCTGCCTAATTTACACACATTGCAGGGTCTCAGTTGTTTCTCTTACTATTGACAACACAACAAACATATATTGTTTCTCACTCTTGATCGTTTTTTCATTTTGTATTTCTTTATGGTTCTTTATTATTATTATTATTATTATTATTATTATTATTATTATTATTATTATTATTATTATTGTTGTTGTTATTATTATATTATTATTATTATTACATTTTCGCCCCCCAGGCCCTGATGTGGGTCAGTGACCTGTGCACGGGTGGGCTAATCCCCGTAAAAAAAAATGTCAAAACAACACTGTCGCCTTATCTCCCTCGTCACTGCTGCCTCAGGGAAGTTTCTAGAGGGTCAATATATAGTTTTTCTTACTTCTTTTTTAGTTTTATCATTTAAAAACGTTAAAAAATTTTTTTGCTAAAGTTGATTTTTCTCCATTTACCCCGTGTGTCTGATACGGCCAGTGGCACCCTAGCCCGGGGCGTAGAGGTTAACTAACCCTCAGAAGTGAAGTCTGAGCTTGGTAATATTATCACAATTATTATTTATACTTTTCTCTGGGTCAAAATTTATTTGTTCACGAGTGGAGCCTATGGTTAATATTCTTGCTTAATATTAGTTTTTGAGTGTGTTAATAGTTCCATATTCTTTTCACTTATTAAATTTGTTAACCATTGATTCTGTTCCATGACAGTTCTAGTTAGACTGCAAGGACAACACAGTTCCTGCAGTTATCAGCCTGTGATCCCTTTATAATGACAGCATGCAATTTTACCATAATTTTCATATTATTTAGGTTCACTTGGTGCCGTAGAAAAAAGGGAGCAATGGCCACACCCACCCTACCTCGACATCATTGTGTGCGAATTTTATGGCATCCGGGTGGCCTTGTGCATTTTCAACGTCCAGCAACACCTTAAGAGGCAGGCCCGGCTTCTCTAGGTAGCTCCTTACCTCAGGGATAAAACATTTGTGGAATCACTCGAGGAAAAGCATTGCTGTCACCCAGGCTTTCTTTTTTGACTGCCAGTAGATGGAGGAGATTCTTATTTTTTCCCTTCAGAGCACGAGCATTGGCAGATCTATAAATCAAGCCTGGCTTTATCATATGCCCTGCTGCGTTGCCACATAGCAGGAGGTTAACGCTATCCTTCGCAACCTTGAACCCGGGGGCCTGCTTCTCAGACTTGGAAATGTCGGTTCTGGTTGGCCTTTTCTTCCCAAACAAACCTGTTTCATCAGCGTTGAAGGCCTGCTCTAGAAGATATCCATTTTCCTCGATCAATTTCCTGAATTAGTCTGGGAACACCCGTGCAGCTGCCTCGTTCGCCGATGTCAATTCGCCAGTGATTCTAATATTTTTCTGGTTAAAACGCTTCCTGAAACTGTTGAGCTAACCTGTACTGGCTTTAAAATTCTTCTCAGAGCTGGTGGATGCTTTGCCCTCAGGGACCTCAGATTTAAACTGGACATAAGGACTCAGTGCCTCCTCCCTGAGCACATTGCCGTCGATGGGACCACATTTCTGGTTCATATCCTCTACCCAGATGTTTAATGCCTTCTCCACCTTCACTAGAGTTACGTCTTTAACCTGGCTAGTCACTTAGCAGTAAATGAGGCACTTGTAGACACGGTTTCACGAATTTCCCTCTCCGAATTTTGATGGATCTCACACTTGATTCGTTCCGCCCGTACCTCCGTGCCACAGCAGTGATTGACATGCCGCCTTTTATCAAGTCACGGCCACTTTTTCTTCCAGACTCATCACAGAGCGTTGTTTCTTCGCTGGATGACCAGAGGCAGAGGTTGGCTTGTGTTTGGACATTATGAACGAGTATGCGAGAGGTTTAAGTGCACTAAATTGACACACACGAGAAGCAGCTATTACTCCGACGATACACACGCAGCAACTGAGACAGACAGAGGTGGCCAGGTGGGATGGCAAGGTGGTGCGTTTGGTGGGCTTGAAACCCATTTTGAAAGTTTTGAGCTTCAAATTGGAAATTGTAAACTAATTTAAATCCACGTATAGTTGAAACAGCTTAAGAAAAATATGCGCAAGTAACCTGGACATTTTCTTACTCTATTTTTAAGGCTAGAGTTACTTTAGTGGGTCTCATGAATGGTATGAACTAATTCCAGCTACTCATATGAAGGACTCCTCATTCCTAGACAAACAGCTTAATGAACACTTACACCGTACTTGAGCCACCTAGTAGTGGGTGGGTAGACATAATTTTATAATTCACGCATATGGGAAGTTGTCTATGTCAACATTTAAAAAAACAAAAACAGTTATTGAAACGAGCAGGATATTAATGAAATGAAATACACAGATCTGTTAGAGCTTGGGATTTTGTATTTCTCCATCTCCACAAAGATACAGGATACTGTAGATGGTATCTGTATTGTACTCTAACTGTTCAATTTATAAAAAAAGAGTGTTTCTATTAATTACATATGAACCAAACAACATACTTTGGCCTCTAGGATGAATTTTGAGATGACAACTGGGTGTTCCTTGGAGACAGCAGCAGCCTGGTTGAGGTATGTCTCCAAGTCTTGGTGAGAATGTGCTACATTCATGGCGGCACCCGAAAGCACATATGAAGGCCGCACAAGGCATGGGAAGCCTACCTCTTCACAAAATATTTGAGCCGACTTTAAATTTGTCAGTTCTTTCCATCTGTTTGGAAAAAAAAACATTCAATCATATCCTCCTGATCTCATTTGAATGATTTTCATTTAGTATATGAATTTAAACATCTCTTTCTGTAAATTTTCCCAATTGTACCAGAAAGATATCTTTCTCTCACTCTAATTGTTGCTGACTAGCTGAAAAATGAATACAGTAATACATTATAACATCAACACCTCTTGTATTGGGATGAGGAAGGTATCATAGAAAAGGAATTACAGTAATGGAAAGGTCAGTGACTGAAAATTAGTAAAATGTATTGAGTGTACATATACTTACTGGTTTGAACTCAATCTTACAATAATGACAAGTTGAAGTACAGTTGAGTCATACTATCAACTTTATCACATTCTAACCAAGTGTAATGGAAGAGCTACACCAGGTGAGAAACATTAAAGTAAAACCAGAAAAAATAGACAAATATGACTTTTCATTTCAAAGTAGAGAAGAGAAGAATGATCCGTGATACCTCAAATGAAGCACCAATGACCAGACCATCGTTACCAGGATGTTTGATATGCTTCAGAAACAAGTTATAATGTCTGTTCTGAACATCAAAAATGTCACGGCACTGGGAGACTGCTTTGGCCCGCCCCTGCATTGGCCACACACGACTGTCTCATGGTTTTTTAATGGAGAGGGCGCCTCCTCCCCATTGCCCCATTGTGATGACTGTCTGGTCCCACTGAATGTTCAACACCTGGTGGAGTGCCCCATTCTCAGAGACCTCAGTCATAAGCACCTCTCCCAGTACTAGGAAGGAGACAGGTCTCACTGCCTTTCTTTGGTGCTGGGGGAGGGAGTGGGTAGTGTGGGAGAGGACGTCCTCTCCTTCATGGAGGAAACTGGTCTTCTACACAAGCTTTGAATTTTATCTACTGTATTAATGTTTAAATGGATTTTACAAAAGTTTTATGCTATTCACTATTTTTGTTTTTTACCTTGCATTATTAGATTTTAGTCTTCTAAGCTTTTATTTTAATTCGGCAACATATGACCTTAGCTGTTGCATCGCCAGGGATGTAATTACCACAATTAATCAATCCAGTACAAAGGTCTGTCCCTGAACTTCACGGTGGCAGAGCATTGACAATGGAATACCATTCGGCCTGGTGATGTATCTCCAGTGAGTGAGAGCGCATTCTCATTCTTTCATTGAGAACATGAATTTGTATGTCTCTCCAGGTCCCACTCAAAAATCCAGGGCCTGTGACTCCTTTACTCTACATGTCTAAGTAAACTTTCAGGATCAAGCTGCCATAGAAGAAACCCCTACAAACAATGTGGCAAAAAGCTCAGCAACTTCATGAGGGGTGATAACACAGCTGCCAACATGAACTCTACACGTTTCCATACCTGGGACAAGGGAATTTTTACATTTAGAGAGGAGACATAAGAGAAAAAAAATGGTGACAGGCATTCTTTAAAATTCGACGAGCTTGGACTCCGACCCGTTTGTATTCCACATATTAAAAATCCATCCTATGATGCCGATAGCAACCATAGGCTCTGCGCCAATTAATAATTGCCTGCCGGCACTTGCGAATATCGAACAAGGGTGTTAAAATGTAAATTGCAAATACGTGGGGTTGAGAGTAGCGAGGTGTTCCTGTACTTCCATAATTTAAAGGAGGGATGCATTCCTAGAAAAGAGTTGAAAGTAAATTCATTTAAAGTGGACTTCTAACATGGTACAAGGGGGATAGGTTAGTCCCTGTACTAAGACCCAATACTGAACTGTTTTCTCACAAAAAGCACACAAATAATACATAAATATAATTTAATAGAAATACAGTATAAATCAATACAGGCTGGTTTTTATGTAGACTGGAGGAGGATGATGGTGTAGGATGATTGGACTGAAACAGCTATGCATGATGCTGATGTTACATGCAATGAAGCCAAAAAAGTTGTGGAAAAATCAATACAATAAAGGACCACCCCGGTTATTGCAAGGGGTGTGTTTCTAAAAGTCAATGTAATTAATGAAACTACAAATATCGGGGCAATTTTCCCCATAAGAACTAATGTAAATGGGCTGGGGAGGGGGGAAACGGTTCCAGCCGGAAACTTGATAACTTGGCATTCAATATCTCAGAATTTCATATAATTCAGCATGTATATGGTCTAGGAGTTTATTATATAATAACTTGGGAAATACAGAGTTATATAAAATTATCTGGAAAAAACTTGGCATATTTGGCTGCATAGGTAACAAACACTCGCTATGCTGCGCTCCATGTTTGGTCAGTCTGGCATTTGTTATTGCTGTGGTCGGGTGTGTGCTGGCTCACTCCATCCAGTACATGGACGTGGCAAGGGAGGGTGCTGTAACACCCCAATATTTTGGGGATAAAGTACTACAGTGGTCCCTCGGTTAACGAACACAATTCGTTTCAGAGGGTCGTTTGTTAACCGAATCCATTGTTTCAATGGGATATTTGGCAATTGGTTCCAGCTCACGGAAAAGTACATACAAAGTTAAAAAAAAAAAATGCAGTAAAGTACACTTACTTTGAGGTGTGTATGTAGAAGGCTCCTGGTTGATGATGATGGGAATTAGAAGTGGGGGTGAAGGAGAAGGGAGAAGAGAAGGAAGTGGGGATGAAGGAGAAATCATCTTTCAGGGGACCCATGCTTGATGCAGTCATTTCACCAATAAAATTCTAAGTTCACTAGGTGTAATTCAAGATTATTTTATTTAAATCAACACTGCACTGCACTATATATTATCAATATGTTAACTAAATTTCAGAATGACCAATAATTTTAATGTAAAATGCAAAAATATTCAAGACACCAACAAAATAGATGTTCACTCCACTATCAACAGAGCCCAACTGACGCCTTGTGGCCGAGTCAAGCATCTGATGGGTGCACAAAAACTAGTTCCCTGTATTGCATATATTATGTTAAATAAATGTTAATAATTTTAATATAAAAAATGCAAAAAACATTAAAGAACACAACTTTATTGATATTTACTCCACTGGAAACAAATGTAAACATAGAACATATTACTGAATTGGCAGACTAGCCCATCAGCTAATCAGCTGATGCTCACAACAAAACGTGATGTTCGAAAGGATTTCGTTAATCGAATTTTTGCTCGTTAACCGAATTGAAGATTCTTATGGAATGTAATTCGTTAACCGAAATTTCATTAACCGAATTGTTCGTTAACCAAGGGACCACTGTATACTGTACATTGCATCTAGGGCACCAGAATTATTATTCTGCACTCCCTGGTAAAATTTGGTTCCTGCAGTACTGACCCATTAACACCAAACAACTGCCCATTCTGGGGTCACTAATCCCAAGAGGATAACTTAAATCTACTGTTAATTTTAAGGTCACTGCCACCAGACCCCCTGGACAGTATATAGCTTGTTTAAGTAGCTGGCAGAGAAATCCAGGCATTGGGTTGGGTTTCTCATTGACCAAGTTGAGAGTGGGAGGAAGGGTGAAACATTAATCATGACTTAACTAATTTATTCCTTAACCAAACATATTTCATTCCGTCACAATACAAAAATAGTTGGCCTTCATGAAAATAACTACTATTTGGTTCATTACACTTAACACCAGTACACGTCCTTCATCAAATAACTACTATTATCATCTACATTCTGCATAACAACCAATGACCTCCTTACCTCGGTAATTCCTTCTTACCATAGCACCCAACACATCAGACTGCACCACATGTTAGAGTATAGCACCACATGTTATATTATAGCACCACATCTCAGGTACCCTCCACACCTACAAGTATGGAACTCCTCGGTTTTCTTCAGGTACACATACCAGGTACCTCGCTCACACTCTACTCTTGCTAAGTAGATGGGACACTTCCCAGGTAATCATACCATAAGAGTACCGGCCCTGACATGGTACATCCTACAGTGCTGAGAGAGTTGTGTAACGAGCTTGCCGAGCCCCTGAAGATCATGTTTTGTAAATGCATGGATGAACAAAAGATCCCCAGTGAATGGAAAGTGGCTTATGGGAGTCCTATCTTCAAGAAGGGCGATCGTTATTCCACGAACAACTATAGACCGGTGAGCCTGACCAGCATAATATGTAAAGTATTTGAGAGTATTATCAGAGATGCCGCGATGGAACATCTACTACGAAACTACCTTGAAAAGGATTGCCAAAACGGTTTTATGCCGGGGAGCTCCTGCTTAACACAATTGCTCAAGGTATTGGATATTTGGACCAATATTCTGGGACGGGGTGGTAATATAGACAATATTTACCTAGATTTTGCCAAGGCTTTCGACAGTATATCCCCGCGAAAGGCTGAAAATCAAACTGGAAGGGTACGGAATTCGGGGAAATGTCCTAGTGTGGATAGAAGACTTTCTATATGACCGCAAGCAGTGTGTGGTGATTAATGGCATGAAATCATCATCTGTACCTGTCACAAGCGGGGTACCACAAGGCAGTGTATTGGGCCCGCTGTTGTTTGTTTGTTACATAAATGACATGCCTGACGTTGTACACTCCTCCATATAAATGTTTGCCGATCACACCAAGTTATTTCGGGAAATCAAGAACCAAGCGGACTGTGAAGAGCTGCAGAAGGACCCCTGTGGGCTCCAAGAATGGTCGAAGAAATGGCTGCTGAGATTCAATGTCACATAGTGTAAGAGGATGCACCTGTGGTGTACCAACGGTAAGGAGGCGTATCATAAGTCCCAATGGGATGAAGAAACTGCACTATTTGAGACAATGTGAAAAGGACCAAGGTGTGTATGTTGAGCTAAAGTTATCGGGCCATTGCGAGAAGAAGGTAAACCAGGCAAATAAATTATTGGGTCTTATAAGAAGGTCGTTCAGATATCTAGACGGTCCGTCCCTCGTAACGATCTTCAGGAGTGAAGTGCTTCCCCATCTGGTCCCCGAGATAAGCTAGGGAAGGTCAGTTGGTTGAAAATGTTCAAAGGAGGGCCACCAGACTGGTGCCTGCACTTCGGCACCTC